TGCCTTCCCATCCCTCTAGCCTCTCTTCCCCCATACCTTCTTTCCACTTCTTTTCCCAGACACAACGATCAAACCAATAGTACCATCATTTCTGGGAATGGTCATCCACTCCTTGGCTTGCCATCCCGTGCTTTCTTCCCCATTAGAACATAAGTTTCTTGAGGGCAAGGGCTGTCTCTTTCATATTTGTTTAACACCCCCTCTAGGGCTACTCCTTACCCCCACCCCCCAACCTCATACACACACACACACACACACACACACACACACACACACACACACACACTCATTGTTGGGCCAGGTACGCTGAGAGTGGTTGAGGGTTCTAGGAGGGTAAACACAAGGGGCTGGATTTCTAGTATTGTCAAACCATGAGCCCCTACCAGTATGCTTCCCATTAAAAATCAGGTGACTTATCTAGCTTTTTTAAACAAAGGTATTCACTAAGATAGTATAGCAGGAACAGTACTTAAAAAAATTTCCCCCAAAAGTATGAGGTCCACTTTCCCACAAATACACACTGGCCCATGGATAGGTGGCAAAGGAGTAACCCACAACTCCTGATTACTGAAAGCCTCTCCATTTATAGAGTTGTTGTCAAGTTCCCCATAGCTCTCTGCTTGTCTCTATGTGGTGTTGGTTTCTTGGTAGAATCAACAGGCAATCCTTCTCTCTGCTACTGCTCCGCTGTCTCTAGAAGATGTGGTCAATGGAGGAGGAGGGTCTCCCTTCCTTCCCTTGCCTCCTCTCCCCCTCCTCCAGCTCCAACTTAACCTCTCAAACTGGATTCTTTCCCCCACTTAATTGTTTCAACCCTTGAAGGAGCCCCCTACCAGATTATTTTTATGTGTAGTCCCAGAAATAGGTCAGATTCTTTCATCAAATCACAAGATGTTTCTTGTAACATACAATTTGCCATTCACCTGATGGCCCAAACTCTATAATCTTTTTAAATTGATTAAGGATTATAGGTGGGTTCAATCTAGGCATCTGGACCCTCTGTGATTACATTAGAATGGTTGTTTTTCAGTCATGTCCAACTCTTGGTGATCCCATTTGGGGTTTTCTTGGTAAAGAAACTGGAGTGGCTTGCCAGTTCCTTCTCCAGCTCATTTTACAGATGAATAAACTGAGGTAAACAGGGTGAAGTGACTTGCCCAGGGTCACCCAGTTAGTAAGTGTTTGGGGCCAGAGAGTCTTCCTGTCTCCAAGCCCAGCACCCTGTCCATTTTGCCACCTAGTTGCCTATCTGCTCATCTCTGCCCAGCAAAGTGTACATGGGATTTTGTGAGAAGAGAAGGTATGCTGAGGCCCAGTAGAACCATCTTTCCTCCATGGGTGCCTTGCGAGCTTAGTATTGGTCCAGACTTCTTACGAACCCTGTCAGTCCAACAACAAGAACAGCTAAGTTCTCACCATGTGCCAGGCACTGCTAAGTGCTGAGTACACAAAGAAATGCAAAAATTATGGTCCTTGTCTTCAGGGACCTCACAGTCTAACAGGGGAGGTGACACACAAGCACAGATACATGGACATTAAACGGGAAATCACGTCTGTTGCAGCTGGCAGTACAACAGGTAGAGTGCTGGGTCTGGAGTCAGGAAGAGCTGAGTTCAAGTCCCACTTATTAGCTGCATGATCCTGGGTAAGTCACTTAACCTCTGTTTGCCTCAGTTTCCTCGTCTGTAAAATGAGTATAATAGTAGCACCTCCTCCCAGGGTGGTTGTGAGGATCAAACAAGGTAATAATTGTCAGGAGTAAGACTTGCACAGTATCCCTTCTCTATCACTCAATTTTTTTTTTTTGGTGAGGCAACTGGGGTTAAGTGACTTGCCCAGAGTCACACAGCTAGTGAGTGTTATGTGTCTGAGGCCGGATTTGAACTCAGGTCCTCCTGATTCCGGGGCCGGTGCACTATCCACTGTGCCACCTAGCTGCCCCTCTATCACTTAATTTTGAAGTGAAATCTTGGAGGTCAGAGACCTCTACCTCTGCAAAGCCCGGACAGCATGGCAGTATGTGCTGGTGCACTCTTGGCACACCAGCTGCCGTGACCACCGTTCGTGTCTGATCTCTCCAGCTGTAACTTGTAACCTAACATTACAGATCACGTGGCTGAAATGAACATGGAACAGTAATATAAACTGATCACTGACCACTATACAGGCTTGATTTTTATAAATAACACTGAGGTCTGGTTGAGCTTCCCCTCAAAGGGGAGGGAGTACAGGGCTCTACACCCTGTTTTGAAAGGATCTGAGCAGATGCCTTGGACAAAGGAGGAGCATTTCAGAGCAGAATTTAGGATTGACTTCCTAAGCCCCACTTGGAAAAGGCATTTCAAATTTCAAAGCCACTGGCTCCAATCGGAAAATTTTCTTTTTCTCTGTTGGTTAGAAGCTTTCTGGGCCCCAGACAGATAGAGAGAAGATGAAAGTCCCACTCTCCTCTTCAGAGCAAGGCTCAGAGAGGCAGGGCTGGAGATGAAAGCTGGGAAGGGGGTAACAAAGATGGACAGATGGAATCTGCTTTGGCTTTTCAGTCAAGCTCTTCCCTGGTCTAGGGGCCTGTGGATAGCACTTCTAGCAGCTCTGAGGACCTGAGGATTCACCAGGCTAGGCAGATTGCAGCAAAATGAGTTCAGCTTTTATTCATATCAACAATGCACAAGGAAGGAGAGAGTGGGGGATCACCAGGGCTGAAGAAAGGCACAAGTGGTGTCTTCCTCTGGCCGGGCTGCTCTCTGGGCTCTTTGGCAGGGGCTACAAATCCTGAAAAAAAGAAGACTACTTCTATTGGCTTCTTTCCTGCTCCTCTGCAGGGGAGCTGTAAGGGTAAGGAGTCTTCCTCCTACCTTTCTGATGCAGTGGCAGGAGGCAGGAAGGGTGACTGGGGTTACCAGCATGTTACCTTGGCCAATAGCCATTTTGGGAGCACTTCCCGAATTGACAAGAGCAGTTCTCTGGTCGAGGAAATCATTCTGAAAATGAACTTCAGGTTCAAGGCATGAAACCAAAGCAAGCCTGGCTGTGGGGGCCGGCAATGCTAAGAGTTTGGGCACAGAGACTGCAGACATTTTGAAAGTCTAATAATCTTGGTCTAGTATCATAATTTGGTTACTTAAGTCTATCATTTGCATATTTTAATACAGCTCTTCTTCCTGAGCTGGGGTCACTGGAGAGCCCCAGCTACCCATTTGGGAAGTTTGTGGGCATCAGGCAAGAACAGAGAGCCATTTCAGTGTCTTGTGTTCCTAACTAGCAGAATAGGGCAGGCAACTGGATGCACAGATCCCCCAGAGCCAATCTCTGAGGCCCCTTTTCCTTCCCACACCCAGGTCTTGGTGATTTCTCCAAGCAGTCTGAGGGTACCTGGGGCCCTATCCTTAACACAGCCCATCCTGGGTTCTTGAGATGCTGCTAATCTGATCTCTCTCTCTCTCTCTCTCTCTCTCTCTCTCTCTCTCTCTCTCTCTCTCTCTCTCTCTCTCTGTCTGTCTCTCTCTGTCTCTCTCTCTCTGTCTCTCTGTCTCTGTCTCTCTCTCTCTCTCTCTCTCTCTCTCTCTCTCTCTCTCTCTCTCTCTCTCTCCCCTCCCCGCTCCCCCCTTCCACCATAGCAGCTTTGAGTCTTTTGCTGTCACCACCCGATTGAATCTTCCCAGGCCAATCGGCACCTCAGGAGGAACGTGACCGGGCCAGACCTTAGCCTCCAGCCCTCCCATTGCATCCTATCCCTTCCCGACCCGTCTACTCCTGTCTTGTCATCCTATCCGGTCACATCCCATCATCCCTTCTTACGGCAAGAAGAACCTTCAGGAAAAAGACTGAGCACCTTCCTCCCTACCCAGGGCTCTCGCTGGACAGGCCAGTGAGGACCGACCAGGGCGGGCCTTCAGTAGCACCAGCACACTCTAATTATGGCTGGCTGAGCCTCCCCCCCCCCCCGCCCGCCCCAGGCCAGGCCAGCCCCCGGTCGAGGGAGAGCGCGGGGCGAATGGCTTGTCCGCCTCTCTGGGACCCGTCTAGAATAAGGCGCCCTGCCTGAGCTCTGTCCACCTCTCTGAAATTAAAGAAAAGACTTCTGGTAACTTTGAGGTCTATGGAAACATCTGGGGAGCAGCAGTAGCAGCGGCCTAGCCCCAGGCCAGGTTCCTCCTGGATCCGGGGACAGCGCTGCCCACTCATTGCCCAAGAGTTCTCTTTCCTTTGTCGTTGTGCCCACTTTACAGCCAAGTAAACTGAGGCACCCAGAAGAGAGAGGTCAACCAGCCACAAAGTATCCGGGGGCAGAATTTGAACCCAGAACTTTCTGACTGCAAAAACTGCGTTTTCGGGCTGCAGCCGCCGCCAATAGCCATCTTAATAAGAGAATATCCCTAACAGCTGCGCTCAGATTGCGATCAGATCGGGAACCCTGAGTCAGCCTCCCTCCAAGCCTCGGCGGGCATCCATCTTCCCTGGGACAGCGGTAGGCAGTGGCAGCCCCTGGCCCGCTCCAGGTCCTCTCCAACCCCTCCATTGTTAGGCGGTCCTGGGCTCCGTGCACACTCCAGAGCTCCCGAGCCCCAGCGCTCGCGCACACACAGGTATACACACATACGCGCGCACGGTTACCGTCTCTGCCGGCGGCAGAGGCTCCCACCAAGCTGCGTCGGTCCCCTGCGCCACCCTCCCCTCACCCCGCTGCACTATAAGATATTGGGGGGCTCGGGTGTGGGACAGAACTGGGCAAGCTAGGCGTGTTGGGGATGGGTTCAGCTAGCTTAGGAGGGCGCTCACAGCCCCCATCAGCTCTGCCTCCCTACGCCCCCCCCCCGGGTTCTAGGGAAGGGGGCACTCGGGTGCAAAGCGCAGGTGGGTGCCTGGTTATCTCTGCAAACTTCCGCAGCTCCTTCCCTCCGCTCCCTCCTGGTCGCCCACCTAGGGGGTTGAGTTTCCTCTCCTGCCCTCGGGGTACCCCCCCCACTCTGGTTCAGGAGGCCAAACTTATGGGCTCTTACCTGATGGCCGGTTTCTGTGCCCCTCCGCGGGGCCCAGCTCTGTTTTTCGCGGTTTTCTCTCTGGTCTCCTCTGGGGTCCTAGCTCAGTCCCCAGTCCCAGCCCCGCTGCAGCTCACCCCCACCGAGGTGGGGCCCCCACTGCGCTCCTGGAGGGCCAGCGCAGTCCTCAAGCGCAGCCTCCAGCCGTCTTCTTCACTCCCGGGTAGAAGAGGGCCAGCGCCGGCGAAGGGGGCATCTCTTCCCGCGAGGCTGAGGTCCCGGAGGTCAGTTTGCTTGTCAGTACTTCTGACAGTCTGTCAGACTCTTTTCTCACAGCCAGCCGGCAGAGCCACCCACCAGAGCTTTAGCCTCCCGGAGTCAGGTCACGGTCCTAGTCTGAGGCCAGAAGCGCCCTCGGTGCGCTGGACGCAGCCCTGGCGGCAGCCTGAGCGCTCAGGCTACGGGGAATGGGGGCCAAGGCAGCCCCAGCAGCTGGCCGCCTAGCCAGCCTAGGCAGGAGGAGAGCTGCCCCGGAGGCGTCGACCGCTCAGCTAAAGGCAGAGTCCTGGAGGAAGGCGGGGAGTTAAGGCGGCACCTTTCCCCGCCCCCCCAGCCCTCTAGTCTGAGACCCGACTGTGGCTACGGCTCAGCCCCCTCGCTGCCTGTGCGGTCCTGGGAGCTTCCAGGTAACGTGTGCCCTCCTTCCTCCTTCCTTCTCCTCCTCCACCCTGCCTCTCCTATCTTCCTCTTCTTCTTCCTTCTCCGTCCGCTCCACTCCTCGCCCCCACCCCCCACCCCCATCAGCCGCCTGATTGCTTCTCCTCTTTTTTCCCTTCCCCTCCAAGTCCAGGGACACTAGCTGGGTGGGTGAGGATGGAAAGTGTGCGTTATCTAGCGTGTGTGTGCGGGTGTCTATTTGTATATGTCTGTGTGTAGGAGTGGAGGGAGGCAACAGCATGGAATGGAAAGTAGGAATAAGGGGTGGGTATGGATAAGAGGGAGAGCACGTCGCTCGAGGGGAGCTTAGAGTCCAGAGGAGAGGAGAGCCAGAGCAGGGGGCTGGGGCATTAGGGAGCAGCTGGGCCCCGCCAGTCTGCCTCGTGGAGATCAATGTTTCGGTGGATATACGCCAGGCCTTCCTAGGGGTACGAGGTTCCCTTTGGAGGGAAGGGGTGCTCCCAACCCCGTCCCAGCAGGGCATTCCTCACAGTACAAGCCATCTCCTGCAAAGGACGAAGCTTCTCAGACACAGCCCTAACTGGGATAGGATGGGGAAGAAGGGCTTGAGCTGAGCTGGGCTGGGCTGGGCAGGGCTGGGCTGGGCGGATCAGGGACTAGTCTGATTTGGGCAGGTCAGCAGTTCTCCTAGCCTGGGCTGGAGAGTGGAAGTGGCAGATAAATTTTTTGGGGTTTCTTGCTAAAGTCCATGCTAGTTCCCCCTTCCCTGCCTGGGCCAACGGCTTTTTAAGATTTGTTCTGTGAAGTTTGGATTCAGTCAAAGGGCCACACTCAAGGACCTAGAGGGCCACATGTAGCCTCAAGGCTGAAGGTTCCCCACTCCTTGGCCAGATCTGGGGGAGGGACAATCTGGCTGGGGGTGAGGATGGGGGAGCTTTGTCTGGGAACATCGGCCTGGAGGCTTCTCTCTCCACTCCAGGGAGCCTGGCATTGCAGTCACATCAGGTATTCAGCTGGGGAGAAGGGAGGGAGTAGCAGTTGTAATTCAGGGGCCTTTGGTCTCCATTGGCCAAAGTGTAGATCCACTGGGGACCTGGGGTGCCCTTGGTAGCAGCCCATGCTCCACTCACTTTCCTCTGTGGGGTGTGGGGAGAAAGAAGAGACTTTGAATTTCCCCATGAAGTCCTACAGGCCTGCAGGACTCAGGGTCAGGCACTGTAACTCCCTCTGGGAAAAGGGGCGTTTTGGTTTTGATTTTGTCTCCTCTCTCCATCCCTCTGCAGCTCCAGGGGTTTGACAGTTTATTCTCAAGCCCCCAAAGGCCTTCCAAGGCAGGCTACCCTCTACTCTATCCAGGCTGTGGGAGCCCAGGCTAAGCTCCTTCCTGTACGGGCCCTGACCAAATCTTGCACTTCTGGGCCAACCCTGAGGTACCCGCCCACTAGCCTGTCTGGAAGGATTTCAGCAAATGCTAAGAGTTAAGAATCTTCCCAGGCAGCTGGAGCTCTACTCCCTGCTGCAACAGTGGAAGCTTCGGAAGGTCTCTGCTCCTAGAAGGAGAATCTGGAAGTCATCACCATCTTCTCACCCCATTCACTTCTCAAACCCTGAAATTGGGTGGCCTCATGGAGTGGGTAGAATGCTAGTCCTCAAGTTAGGAAGACCTGAGTTCTAATCTGGCCTCAGTCACTTACTAGCTCTGTATGGATTCCTCACTTTATTATTAACAAGCCTGAAATTAACTGAGCCTCTGTCTGGATGTTGGGAGTTGTGAAGCATCCTCTCCTCTGTTTCTGTTTCTCTCTGTCGCTGTCTCTCTATCTCTGTCTCTCTCTCTGTGTCTCTGTATGTCTATCTGATAGCCTTCTATCCTTCATTCTTCCTTGTCACTCACCCTGTGCCCCAACTGATGTTTATACACCTTGTTGATTCTACACCCCCCACCACGTTCTTCACCCCAGTCCATGAGAACCTCTCCTCAAGGCTATTGCAACAGTCTCCTAATCAGTCTCTCATTTCTAATTCCTCCTGCTCAAATCCATCCTCAGTACACCTGCTACAATCTTCCAAAAACCCAAAGAAAACCAGAGGAGCTCCCCTGTTCAAGTAACTTCAAGGAGTCCCCCCTCCCTCTCCTTTAAAGTAAAAATCCTTAAGTTTGGCTTCACAATCTAGCTCCAACATCTATTTCCAGTGATTTCACATTGCGCCCCTTCACTCAGCCTATGTTCTGGCCAGAAACCCATTTTCTGGTTTTCATGTATGGCATTCCAACTACCGTCTTTCGCCTTTCACAAGTTGTCCCCCACACCTAGGTTTCTCTCACTCTTCACCTCTGTCCACAGAGAGTGAAACTAGGGAGGGTGTAGCCTATGGAGTGGAGGTGTGCTCTTCTCCCCCTCTCCCAAACCAGGGACTCTTTTAGTACCAGAGACAGTGCCAGTGCTATTAACACAAGCAAGCCTTCACAGAGGAGATAAGCTCTGTCTAAGATCCTTTCTGGGTCAGAAATCTTGTGCTACTTGGAAATGCCACTTTTTTTATGAAGCCTGCCCTGATCACATGCCCTGGGTGGGGTCTCTTTCCCTTTTCTGAGCCTCTGCAGTTCTCTGTGCACCTCTGTTGGCTCTGATTTTGTCCTATGCCATTGTCCAGTCATTTTAGTGTTTGTCTCCTTCTCACTCCCCTCCCCCCCATCTCATACCATGTGAGGACAAGTACTTTCTTTTACCCTTTTTGTGGTCCCTGGAGTTTCTAGAAGAGGCCCCAGTACATAGTAAGCATTCAATAAACATGTATTCATTTTGAACATTTGAAGATGCATGTAGATGTTAATTAGAGGGAGATCTGGGTCTGTGTGTGTGACTGTTCACATCCTGTCCTATGCCTGACACCTCCTATTCTTATATTCTCCCTTCTCTCCCCCTCTCCCTCTCCCAGCCTCTATCTCTTTGCTTTTAGGTGGTGAGTAAGAAGGCAGCCAGCTCTCACTTTGACACCTTGGACACTGTTATATCATGACCTCATCCAAAACTTAAAATGAGGCCTTCATGGATAGAGTCAGGTAATGTCCTTAATTCATTCAACAAGCATTTATTAAATGTTTCCTCTGTGCCAAGCACTGAGTGGCTTCAAAGGCAAACAGGAAGTGGCATCTGCCCTTCAAGTGCTTATATTCTTTGGGGGAGGGGTTAAGCACACATAACCCGAAGGAAGGCACTAGCTGGGTGAAGCAGACATGCAGTAGGAAGTGAGGCTTGAGCTTAGCTTGAAAGGAATCTCATGGTTCTGTAAAGTGGATTTGAAGAGAGAAGACATTCCAGGCATGAGGAACATGCTGAGGAAAAAGGCATGGAGATGGAATTGTGTGTGGGCAGCAGTGAGTGGACCAGTTTGACCGGACCAGGGGTGGGAAACTTGTGGCCTTCTAGGTCCTTAGATGTGGCTTTCTGACAGTCCAAGTTTTATAGAACAAATCCTTTTATTAAGGGGATTTGTTTTCTGAAGGGCCACACTTGAGGACCTAGAGGAGGCCCTCAACTAGACCATAGCATATGTCTGGAGACTTATCTGACACTTGAACAGGTTCTCTTGGGGATTCCTTTTGGTCCCAGAGTGGCCCCTGAGATCCCTTCCAAGTCTCCAGTTTGTGATTCTTTTAATCAGCCTTGAAAAGTAGGCCAGAGTGAGACTGTGAAGGGCTTTAAATGAGTTTATATTTTGTCCTAGAAGGGTTAGAGAGCCGCTGAACCTTCCCAAGCAGGGTGAGACCCGAGGTTGGAATTATGCTTTGGGTATTGGCCTGGCAGTAGCTTGGAGGCTAAATTGGAAGAGGGAGAGATGAATTGGGACACCAGTGAGGAAATGACTGGAATAGTTCTGGTGAAAGGGGTCGAGAGCCTCAGCCAGGATGGTGACCATTTGGATGAAGAGAAGGAGAATGTGCAAAAACAACTACTGAGGCAGAGCTCTGAGCCAATGGCACCTTGTTAAAGGGTCCACGCTCCCCTCTGATGATGTGGACCTCAGATCTTCCTCCTGATCTGAGAGGCCTCCTTCCTCCCAGGCCTTGTTTTTGTAAGGTTTGATACCTGAGCAATCCAGAGAGGTTGCACAAAATACGAAATTCCATTGGTTGATAGACCTTGCTTCAAGGGCCAAAAGTGAAGATAGAGAAGGCAAGAGTCATCTCTGGTGAGCAAGTGGTCATAAGATGGTCACCTGCTCATGTTGGGCAAGAGAGGGTGGTCTGGAGGCACAAAAATACATTGGGGGGCTTTTCACGTACTTGAGTCACCTCCACTATGTTGAGCTTGGTCACCATAACAAGGAAAAACAAGGGTGGAGGGCTTCTAGTTAACTTCCTATGATTAAGGAAGTGACCTTACAATCTGCAGTTCAGGCTCTGGGGTCGAATATACAGAACTTATAATCACCACCGCTATGTGGAATCTGATTAATGCTGATTGGAATAGACTAGGGGTCCAAATGAATCATTTCTCACAGGAAAAGGGATGCAAGCCTCAGCTAGGATGAAAGAAGAGAAGGTGAAAGATGCAAGCTATGCCTGGCAAGAAGCAGCAAGATTTGATCATTGCTTAGGTGTAAAGGATGAGGAAGAGAAGGGAAAATCAGAGATGACTCTGAGGCTGCAGGTTTGGGTGACCAGAAGGATGGTGGTGATGGCAACAGAAATAGAGCGAGTAGTAAGGAGGGAGGGTTTTGGGGAAAAGATAATGAGCTCTATTTTGCACATGTTGAACTTTGGATGCTTAAGGGACTTCCAGCTAGAAATGGCCAGGTTGGTGATGTGGAACTGGAGCTCAGGAGAGAGACTGGGGCTTGGCTGCAAGAAATAATAAAACCCATGGGAGTTGAGGAGATCAATAAGCAAAAATTGTGTGGGGAGAATTGGGTCCAAGACAGACCTGTGGGGAGCGCTCACAATTAGGGGAGGGGCTTTGGATGATGAACCTGCTGAGGAGACTGAGGAGAGGTCTGATGGATAGGAGGAGGACCAAAAGAGAGCAGGGG